CTATCTATCTATCTATCTATCTATCTATCTCTGTCTGTCTGTCTGTCTGTCTGTCTGTCGTTTGATGTTCTATCGGTCTATCATCTATCTATCTATCTATCGTTTGTTCATTTGTTCGTTCGATGTTCTATATCTATCTATCTATCTATCTATCTATCTATCTATCTATCTATCTGTCTGTCTGTCTGTCTGTGTCGTTTGATGTTCTATCTATCTATCTCTATCTATCTATCGTTTGTTCATTCGTTCGTTCGATGTTCTATATCTATCTATCTGTCTATCTATCTATCTATCTGTCTGTCTGTCTGTCTGTCTGTCGTTTGATGTTCTATCTATCTATCTATCTATCTATCTATCTATCTATCTATCTATCTATCTATCTATCTATCTATCTATCTATCTATCTATCTATCTATCTATCTATCGTTTGTTCATTCATTCGTTCGATGTTCTATATCTATCTATCTCTGTCTGTCTGTTGTTTGATGTTCTATCTATCTATCTATCTATCTATCTATCTATCTATCTATCGTTTGTTCATTCGTTCGTTCAATGTTCTATATCTCTATCGTTCGTTTGTTCGATGTTCTATATCTATCTATCTATCTATCTATCTATCTATCTATCTATCTATCGTTCGTTCGATGGTCTATATCTATCTATCTGTCTATCTATCTATCTATCTATCTATCTGTCTGTCTGTCTGTCTGTCTGTCGTTTGATGTTCTATCTATCTATCTATCATTTGTTAATTCGTTCGTTCGATGTTCTATATCTATCTATCTATCTATCTATCTATCATTTGTTCATTCGTTCATTCAATGTTCTATATCTATCTATCTATCTATCGTTCGTTCGTTCGTTCGTTCGATGTTCTATATCTATCTATCTATCTATCTATCTATCATTTGTTCATTCGTTCGTTCGATGTTCTATATCTATCTATCTATCTATCGTTCGTTCGTTCGTTCAGTGTTCTATATCTATCTATCTATCTATCGTTCGTTCGTTCGTTCGTTCGTTTGTTCGATGGTCTATATCTAACTATCGTTCGTTCTTTCGATGTTCTATATCTATCTATCTATCTATCTATTGTTCGTTCGTTCGTTCGATGGTCTATATCTAACTATCATTTGTTCGTTCGATGTTGTATATCTATCTATCTGTCTATCTGTCTGTCTGTCTATGTATATATGTCTAATATTTCTTTTAGAAAATACTATTTCTACACAAAACGATGAATGTAGGAAAGATTTCATGTACATAAATCCCACAAATTACTTTGAATCACAAATTAAACATGCCAGTCAAAATGTTATCCTATAATTTGTGGAATGTACTAAAAATGTACCATATTTTTCTTGTAAGATGCTGACACATATTCTGTATATCTGCATATGAGCAATAATTATTTTCTAATGGAGTCACTTCTTTAAATGTGCTTATGAAGCTTTCTGGAATTTCATCCTACAGATTCCAGCGAATCTTCTTCTGAGAGTGGAGAGATGTTGGGCCACACCAACCAATGACCCTTACAGCAACATTCAGTATACCTTCATCAGGGACAGGTCTGGGACATAGGTTTTAGCCTTTGCCTATCAAGCATTTAATTTTAGTGATTTAAAAACTTATTTTGTTTATTAACTCCCTTCTATTGTCCTCTGTGTAAATGCCCTCCTTCACAGCTTCATTAGTCTTTTGCTCAGGTTTTAAATGCTTAATTCAGTCATAATTATAACCAGAGGTGTGAAAGGATGTTGTTGAGATCATCATGTGACGACCATCAGCAGCGTATGTTTCATTTTTAGAGCTGTGCTTGTCCTTGACTACCCAAAGAGATTCTCCACCAGGAAAAAAACTATGAAGCGTGTAGTTTCTGTGAAGAATAGAGAAAACCGATCCAACATAATTATCATTCCCTTGAGTACAAATATCACGCTGACTAACATTTCTCTTCACATCAGCTGTCCAGTGTTGTGGAATGACCAGACACTGGCTGTGATGAAGAATGGTCAAGGACCAGAAGCTCTGTTCAGGATACAAATGTTCAAGTTTGTTGGCAGCTCCTACACAGATGTTTTCCTGCACTGCAAAGTCCAGATCTGTCATAACACAGGAGGAGTGTGCCAGCCTGTGAGTTCCCAAGTCATCAAGGCTGCATTGGTTTGTTTAAATAAAAACACAGTAAAAACAGTAATATCGTGAAATATTATTACAATTTAAAAAAACTGTTTTCTATTTTAATATATTCCAAAATGAAATGTATTCCTGTGATGCTAAGCTGAATGTTCAGCATCATTACTCCAGTCTTCAGTGGCACATGATCCTTCAGAAATCATTCTAATATGCTGATTTGTTGCTTCAAATTAAAAACAGTTTTGCTGTTTATTATTTTTGTGGAAACAATTTAGGTAACAATGTAAAATTGTGCTAACAATGAAAAAATCTTTACCGTCACTTTTGATCAATTTAATGCATCCTTGCTGAATAGAAGTATAATCTTACTGACCTCAGACTTTTGAACAGTAGTTTACCTAATGCTTAGCCAACACCCTGTCTGTCAGAGTCAACAATTGGTCTAAAATACTATAAAAGTACTCTGTATGAATTCTAAAGTCCTAAAAGTTTGAAATCCCTTTTGAGTTTGCATTTGAACAATTCTGCTAAACATCTCCTTTTATAATTCCATGTACAAGAAACATGCCAATTTTTAACAATAGGTGGGTGAATAAATAATGACGATTTTATTGTTTTGGTGAACTTTTCCTTTAAGAATGTTGTTGAGAAACATTGTTTGCATCATAGTAACTTTAAACACTTGGTGCATCACAGAACTGCTCTTCTGAAGATGCATCAGTACGGACACGCAGGGATGTTGCATCATCTCACACTGTCTCGTATGGACCAATCAGAAGGCTCAAAACTGACATGGAGAATGCTAGTCCAAGTAAGTCTTAGAAACGCTTGTGTCTTTATTAGAGTCACCATACTCGCCAGATGTGCTCAAATTATTTGAACATCCCCAGATTCAGATTTGCCCCCTGTGGAAACCTTTGTATTGGGTGGTCTGCTGTTCATCCTGATTGTCATCACAGGAGTTTTTGGGAAACTCTGGCTCCAGAGCAGGAACTCGTATCCGACCCAAGAGTCCCAGCTCACTCTCTCCAACATCCACCATATCTCAGAGGTGGCCAGCTAACCTGGGATCTCATATACACACAGTGTTTTGTGAAATATGTTCAGTTTGAAAGTTTTGTCTGCTAACCTATAGTGCATTTTATACAGGTGCATCTCAATAAATTATTGAATTTATTTAATACACGAGTTTCACAATTTGAGTTGAATTACTGAAATAAATGAACTTTTCCACGACATTCTAATTTATTGAGATGCACCTGTAATAGTTGTTCTTTTTGTCTTTTATTGTGAAATAAATAAAAATGCTTTTTGATTTCCTAACAGCTTACTTAATATACTGTTCAAAATGAGTTAATAAGCCACTTTGTGGTTGTGAAGAGTGCAGCTGAACATGCTCATAGTTAATGTGATGATCTACACCTTATTAGAACACCTGTTTGAACTTCATACAGTACATCTAAAAAAACGAAGAACAGTATAAAGTCAGTGAAGAAAATCTCTAGATCTAGGTTTGATATTTTTTAAGCATTTTAATGTATGACTTAAGTTTACAAATAACCTCAATTTTTCGGGGGTCATTGTACAACATTATGTTGGTCTATCTGACCATAGTTCTTGCTTCGAAACCAAAGGGTACATTTGTATAACAATTAATATCAAGTTTTAAACATGCATCCTCATTACCATTGGTAGGTTAACCATCTTCATTAGTTAGATCAATGTAATGGTTTCAATGAAGCACACAATGGTATTTGTTATGAAAAATAGTACCCTGAACACATACCATAGTTGCATGAATGAATGATTAGGACAGGTTTTAAAATGTCTCCCTAACATTTAACAATAACAACACATAAAGAGCATAAACGAAAAGAATGTGTTATTTTCCAAATGTACTGAAAAATCATAATGTCTTAAATATACTTATATCAACAGGTTTCCATGAGGATTAGACTAAAGGTAAAGTAAATAAATATTATTTCAAATATGGATAAAAAAAACATTGTGACTGTGAGAATTGTACAACAGAGAAAAATAAAAAGACATATTGGTAACGTTAATGGTATCATATACCGTGTATTCTGATATCAGACTCGCATATGATGCCATTTAAACGGCACTAAAATACTGAAAATAATAATATGGTAATACCCAAACAGCATGTTATTATCGTGTGTGTGTGTGTGTGTGTGTGTGTGTGTGTGTTTAGTCTCCGCCCAATGGGCCTGTGTTCAGTGTATCAGTGAAACACAGATTTCAACAGAAACACAGACAGCAGTGAAAACAACATCACTGTCATTATACTCTATTAAATATTATATTTTTTTTATTAAATAAATACTTCGCTGTCCTCATTAAACTACTGAAGATTCGTCACAGATCAACGGTAAGACACTTTAATGTCTGTTTACGTTGAGTAGTTTCCTGACCGGCTCCAACTGAATAACAGACCGGTCTTTGTTAAAATAGCAAAATACTTATTTTTCCCTCATACTAGCATTATAACTGTTCGTCGGTATACAACGTTTATTCATTGCGTTGGTGTTGTTTTCATTTAATCCTGCAGTTCGCGGCTAACCAGCTAATGCTAAAGGCTTCGTGTTTGTCAGTTTAACGAATTAAAACATTTACCCGTCATAATGCAAACATAAAGATGTTTAAGGATAGCTCAGTGGCGTTAAATAGTTCATGTTTGATTTATAGGAGATCATGACACTGCCAGGTTCATGTTGTCAGTCGTTTTAACGTTACTCCAGTCTAGAACAACAAAAGCTGCATCAGGTTTCACGAGTTTGACTGGATTGAGTTCAGTGCATCTGCAAAATATGATTGCCATCATGTCATATTTGGGAAACATTTCACGTTAGAATCAGATCATATTAAGGACCATTTTAAGTTTGGGATTATTGGGATCATCGTGTGTATGACCATGGCTATGTCTCGTTTAGGATGATGCATTTTGTGGTCATGTCATTAAATGAACATTAGGATCAGTGTTGCCAAACCCCTCCCTCAGAAAATCTCTAGAACCACCCTCAAAAGGGTCAATTTTTCACAAAAAGTGGCCAAATATGAAAACAAAATAAATACAGGTAAATTTGGTAAAGGAAAGTAAATATATATATAACGTTATATATATACTTTACAAATGATGAAAGTATAAAAAATATAACAAAAAATTCTGAAGTGAAATTAGGAAATGCTTGTGATCTGCAAGCACATCAAACATGATGGAAATGATGGAAAGACACAAAAGACACATAATGTTGGGCATTTGTTTTATGTGTCACCAAAGTGCATCCCTGTCCTGCTCAAATACAACAGATAAGAGATATTATGATTCTCCAAAAACAAAAACTTTATTCATACAAACTTATTTCAGTCAACACACTCAAAATACTGCATCCCAGTACACATGACACGATGATCTGGTTGACATGACTGTGCATGAATTGTGGTATAACTTTTGTGTCCGTGGTTAAAACAAGATGTTCATTTTTTCTCCGCCATCTTAATGAAATTGTGGTGTGCGTCATGGCAGGCGTGGCGTACTGGTGTGTTCTGCGCAGACCATTGGCATGATTGAGAGCAAACGTGAGAGGTCATGGGCCTACGGCAGGGTGTGGCCAGGTAAAAAATAAAAAATCTCCAAAAAAATAGCTAGTTTTATTTAAATATAGCTAAAATAGCTCTTTGTCACAAAAAATTTTAAAAAGTTGCAGCTACAATGAGAAAGTAGCTAAATTTGGCGACAAAATCCCCAAATTGGCAACACTGATTAGGATCCACAAGTTATAGACCCTTGATGACTCAGAGATAATTAACTCAGCTGTCAGTTATCAATTATGGCATATGAGCAACTGTAATTAATTATTTAAAAAAAAATTTCAAATTAAAAAATAATCCGATTTAACTATTTAATGACCTGTTTTGTCCATAATATTTAGCTTATACTGTAACTGACATATACCTTAAGCATAAACAGTGTAGACTGGCGTGAATAATACAATTTGGAATATTTTAAATAACAACATTCAGGTTTTAAAAATATTTATTTTTTCTCCACTTTGGTTGTGATAAAGTCCTTTTTCATTCTCTTGTTTCATGGAATGCATCCCATTTGAAAATTAAATTAAGATTAAAATTTATTATTATGTAGCAGTTATACATTTGTCATATTTCCTTAAGTTTATACAGTGAAGTGTTTCATTTAAGCATTAGACTCTGTTGTTGTTTGTTTGTTGGAAAACTGTAGGAAGACATTAGCTCATTACCAACAGGTCAGCGTACCTGTTGTTAAAAAGTTTGGTATATTTACTTTTGGTATATTACTTAATACATGTTTACTTAGCAATTTTTGTTTTTTGATTGCTGTAAATGAACCTATTAGAATTCCAACTGGATTGCATTTTATTTTGTGATTTGCTGGACTGATAAGCTGACCTTTATGTTCCATGAAAGCACACAATAAAGTGCAATCAAATAAGCATCATACATTTACAGAACTAAGAATAAACAAAAATGGCTAATGATAGTCAATTGTGCAAGCTCTGAACCATAAGTTCTTGCACAAAAATGTAACCTACCTATGTACTGCCACAAATCTGAGCCCCTCTAAGACTGGAATCCTGAAGTCATGTCATGTTTGGGGTCATACTGACATGCTGTAAGTGTGCTGTCTGTTGTAAGTCCTTATGAGTGATTGCTTGTGCAACTGTATTCCATATTGCACATGAGCACTAGATACCAAACACCTAAGTATTCAGAAAACATCCTCAGATGTGTTTTGCTGTTTCAAAAGAAGCCATCACAAGACACTGTGGCAGGCTGACACGCCGGCATTGTACACAAACGTTTCGCAATGTTTATGCCCAGCTGGTATTACGAGGGCTATGTTGAAAGTCAGCTTAATAATTCAAAGCTTACACCACAGCATGACAACCCCCCCTCAACTGACTCAGACGGTTTGTATTTAGGTCATGCCGGCTGAGTCTAGCTGCACATGTCCAGCCAAACCCTGTCATGCTGGAGAGAGAGATGTTTCTTGAATGACATTGCAAGATCCTTGTGGAAGTGTTTCTTTTGAGTGGAAGCCATGACTGATTCCTGAAACATATGATTCAGAAACAAGGGGTCATGTTCCTTCTCCGTCCTCGAAGAACCGGCATGACTGTGCAACTTTAGGAGAGTTGTGAAATGGCAGTGCAATGGTTTAGTAATTTGGTAAACATACTGCGAGAGAGCAACGGGGTTTGATTTACACTTATCCCTTTTAAAAAACGGGGGGACTTTCCCCATGAATGGCATACATATATTTTAAGCCATGTGGTGTTGATCACAAAGACACCCCACGTGTGTGTCCAAAATAAGATCAGGTCTAACGATCTCTTTTCTTTTCTTCCATAGTGTTTGGTGTAGCGTCTTTTGAGTTAAGCGACTCACTAATATTTGCAATGGAGGAGCTTCATATCCATTGCCTGAAATGTGTCAACCGCCGATGTATGATAAGACCAGAGCCTAGCATTTCCTGTGACCTCATGGGTTGCCCTCTTGTATGTGGGGCGGTTTTCCACTCATGCAAACTGAATGAGCACCGCTTGCTGTGTCCATACGAAAGAGTCCCGTGTCTGAACCATGGATTCGGATGTCCATTCACCCTAGCCAGGGTCAAAATAGCACAGCACCTTGAAACGTGCCCAGCCAGCGTTGTGTGTTGCACTATGGAATGGAATCGATGGCCAGTGAGTTATGCAGATCGTAAGTCCTACGATAACTTGAGTAAGGATGTTTGTGACGTGGAGCAGCTCGACATGGCTTTGGCCCTCCAGGATCAGCGAATGTTGCTGGAGTCGCTTAAAGTAGCGACCACTGTGACAAACGCTCTGGAGGAGCAAAATCAGGACAATTCCAGCCCTCAGGATTCAGACCCGGAAAATGAATTAATTGAAACAGACGAGGAACCGTATGGTGGACCTTACACAATTTCAGTGAAAAACAGTAGAAGCTTTGCTGCCACTTTGGACGTTCTCCGTAGTGCAAAAAATATGGACTTGATTGTGGAGAATCCTGATGGTGAGGAACAGAATGGAGGTTGCAACAGTGTTAGGAATGGCGATGGGGACTTTAGCAATGACACAAAGGAAAGTGACACTGATTCGGATTCAGATCTGGGAGCGGTAGGTGGTGCTGACTGTCCTTTTCCAGTAGACCCTGAAGACGAAAGAGATGATTGGCTGGAGAACAGTGGATGTGGTGAATCTTCTGAAGAAGAAGGCGAAATGAATGGTGGGATAGAACTCAGTGGACTTCATAATGAAGGGAACACTGACAGCCAGGTTAGACTTGAAAGGGTCAATGCCTCTTCAAACGTAAGGCAGGTTTTACCTGATCATTCCATACCTGTTCTAGCACAGGAGCCTGAAATGGCCCACTTGCCCCAACTACCTCTTCCTTTGCCCATCCCTGTGCCTAACCTGATGCACAACAATGTTCTGCACGATTTGCCTTTTAGAATTGAGGACCGATGGCTGGAGCGCAAGTTGGAGAATCTCCAGGTACTCAGGGGAATGAACTTGTTTACTATCAATGGGCGAAGGACTCTGTTTTCCGACCCCTATTTATTCAAAGCCAAGATGGAGGACAAGGCAGTGGACACGTCGGACCTTGAGGTGGCAGATGATCCGATGGGTCTTCATGGCATTGACCTCATCACCGCTGCTTTGCTCTTTTGTTTGGGAGACTCACCTGGAGGTAGGGGCATCTCAGACAGTCGCTTTGTAGATGGGTATCGAATTGACTTTGGCACGCAAACCTTCTCCCTCCCTTCTGCCATACTGGCAACCAGCACCATGGTAGGTGACATTGGCTCAGCATCTGCCTGTGACCACGCCAGTCCGCAACTCTCCAACCCCAGTCCATTTCACACCCTCAGATTAGACCTTGTTCTGGAGTGTGTGGCACGTTATCAGACCAAACAGCGTTCGATGTTCACCTTCGTATGCGGACAGCTGTTTCGCAGGGATGAGTTCTCCTCCCATTTTAAGAACGTCCATGGTGACATACATGCTGGCCTTAATGGTTGGATGGAGCAAAGGTGCCCATTGGCGTACTATGGATGCACCTACTCACAAAGAAGGTTCTGCCCTTCGGTACAAGGATTCAGAATCATCCATGACCGACACCTGAGCTCCTTTGGGGTGCAACCTGGGTTAGCAGCTTATCCCGATGAGCCTCTATCCAGAACTGACACCTGTCAGTTCAGGTCCCACTGTGACCACCTTAGTGACCTGCCCTTTGAGTTACTCCAGCACATTGCGAGCTTCTTGGATGGCTTTAGCCTGTGCCAACTCTCCAGGGTGTCTCGCACTATGAGGGACGTGTGTGCCAGTCTTCTTCAATCCCGTGGCATGGTGGTCCTGCTCTGGGAGAAGACAAAGCGAGCTGATGGAACCTCATCCTGGCAGATAAAAGACAAGGTAATCAAAGAGTATTCACCTTGTTGTCTTGAAGCACCAAGCATAAAAAGCAATTTTTCACAGTCTAATCTTGCTGATGTTTTTCATTTTAGGTGTGGCGGTTCAGTACGGCGTTTGACACTGTGAATGAGTGGAAGTTTGCCAACATTTCCAGCATGGCCGACCACCTCAAGACTTGCAAGTTTAACACCATAGCACGGAGAGAAGAGGCTGTCCCACTTCCATGTATGAGTTTCACAAGAGAACTTACAAAAGAGGGACGCTCTCTACGTTCAGTGCTTAAACCAGTGATATAGACCAGTGGTTCCCAACTGCATAGGTTAACACAGCGGTTCCCAACCCTGGTCCTGAAGGCACCCCAACACTGCACATTTTGCATGTCTCCTTTCTCTGACACACCAGTTTCAGGTCTTGGAGTCTCTACTAATGAGCTGATGACCTGAATCAGGTGTGTTTGATTAAGGAGACATGCAAAACGTGCAGTGTTGGGGTGCCTCCAGGACCAGGGTTGGGAACCACTGATATAGACTGTAGTCATAATTCAGATGAGGATTTCATTTTATAATACAACATGCCTTATGTGTTTAGGTGAACCGTGGGATTTGTTTGGAGACATAATCATTAAAATAAGAGCCTCAACTTAAACCACTTTTGGAAGAGATGTTTTTTATTAAACAATATCTTCCTGCTGTAGTGATGATGGTTGTGCTGTCTTGCACTTTTGATACAGTATATTCAGTCTTTTTTTTACAAATTCATTGGTTTTGTTGAGATATGTAGCTTCAAACCAGAAACACTGAATTGTTAAATGGTGATGACCAAACGGAAAACCATTGTCTTAATTTTTGTAATGCAGGAATACACAATCCAATTATTTTATCATATAGATCAGTGGTCCTCAACTGGTTTTATTTTTGGACCCAAAGTTACATTGAACATGAAATGGTGACCATATACAATACTGGACGTAACCTGTCTTTACTGTTCCCTTGGTCATTTATTTTTAACCATACATAGTTGTCCTTGAGGATGATGTCAAGCAAATTGTCCATTTTGGCATTTCATTCAGTACATGAATTTGCTCCAAAATACACAGCTTGATTAGACAATGTGCAAAAGATATAGAAACTGTTTTCTCTTTATAAGTCCATTTATTTTACTATCCTACTTATTCATGGCTATATGGTTCATTTCATTTGATCATTTGCTTTTTTTTTTTTTTGGCCTGCTGTTGCAGAACAGACCTGCAAACCATCAATTGAGAACCACTGATGTAGACTTTAATCACCTGATTTCTCTCTCATTTAAGTCTATAAATGACAGTCTTAGATATTTTTCTTCTATCAGTTTGTCAGAACGAACACATAACAGTTATTTCTCTGAGAAGCATTTATAGTATCCCGTTTTAGCTGTATACAACATATACTACTTGATACTGTCACACACAACACTTCCAGTGGTCATCCTGAAATGTAAATGTACTTTATCTATTTTGAATTATTACTTTTTACAATCTTCCTGATTATGAGTCACTGCGCAAAACCTGCAGGACAGGAACAAGACTGCAGTTGTAGCCTGTTTTTGGTTGCACATGGTACATGTGCAGATGTACTTCTCTGTCTCTCGGGTTTAACATCAAGCATATGCCATTATAGACAGTTTATCTGTGAGGAACTTGACGTGAGCTTGTGATTCTCTTCTACTTTTATTTGTTGATGGTTTCAAAGTCAAGTTTACAGTTCCTAAAAAGTTAAGTTTTACTGTAACTCTTTTCAGGTGTGCAGTTACAATGTTTCAGATTGCTAACATTCTGAAATGTTGCAATATTTTCATCTGGAAAGAAAACAATTCTCTCGACCTTTGTTTAAGGGATTAGATGTGTGATACGTTTTACTGTATGTGCTTTCTGTGACTTTTGAGTATGACAGTCCTTACATTTGTGTTGAGTGATGACAATAGAGCAATATTCTGAAACATTTGAGTTTCTGAATAATCTAATTCTAGCATCTTTGAAAACTGAAGAGTCATAAAATGCTTATTTTTAAAGAATTTATCAGAGTTGACATCAGTCGATGTGCAATGTGTTATAATGTCTTTGTTTGAGTGATTTTTTCCCCAAAGGAACAAAATGCATTTATATATTGCATAAAGCCTTTTTTCTTTTTTTGAACAATTGTGATGTTTGAATTTATTTAAATATATTTACTCTAGGTCTTCCAGCCAT